TTAGGGGGAATACAGTAATAGTCATCATGGACTGGTGCAAAATATCTTATTTCTTGGAGCTATCTGTTCCTAGAATTGAGTGCATTTATACAAAATAATTCTCTAAAAAGTTATCTGTAGAAGATTCCAAGCATAGTAGGATGATGAAAAAATGGGTGCTGTTGTGTCAAGGAGGTGATAACAGGAGGCAGGTAGCAGCTTTCTCACATCTTCACCTCCCTTGATAATGTATGCAGTGGCTCATCATAGGTAACTGATGTTAATTTATTCAAGCACACCTGTACAGGGCTGGAAGTCAGGTAACCAGACAAAAAGTATGTCTCTGCTTTTTCAATACAGCTACCCAGAGGCCTATATCTGCACAAATTTAGTTCTGGAGACATCAGCAAGTTTTAATAAACCACCTACAGATGTCTTGCTTCATACAAATCAAGGAGTTTACATGTTTAAATCTGGACTGATTTAACTAGCAATCAAGTGGCATGATCACACTTGGCACCAATAGTTGCCTCATATTTATTTATAAGTCACCCTGAGCAGATATTATTTTGTTTCTAAATTTATTCATGGGCCTCAATCACCTTTCCCATCTTATGGAACACACACACATGCTCACTCTGTGAGAAAATTTAAAGACAAACCTGAGCAATTAATAGTCCTACTTTAGTAGCAGAAAGAAAAAGTGAAAAGTTCTTGCTTTGCTCCTCTGAACAGGTACACTGAGAATTTATTTATTTTGCATACATTGAGAGAAAGGAAAATGCGGTAACATTGCTACTAATGCTGTGTCCTAGCTTAAGAAACACAGATTTTAATAGTGCCAGTACTGAGGTGAAACGGGGTTTTAGCATGCACTAAGGCTGACAGAGAAGATGGCTGCATTTCTCCTTAAGATCCGACAGCAGCATTTCAACAAGACTTACCGAAGGCAGAAGATCTACCCACCTCTTGTTTCATCAGTGGTTTTGACCACAAAATTCTTGGCTCTTAAAGGTGAGAGCCAGAAATGAAGCCAACTGCTCTAAGCTTCACCTTCCATGCCTTCACCTCTGCATGTGCTCTCCAACACAGACTCTTAGATGAATCTTTGGCACTGTTGTCCTCTTTGGACAGGAAATAATTATTCCCTTCTCCCACCCGCATGTCTCATCCACAGCTCAGGATGAGCACCTGTACCTCAGTGCTGGCTTCAAGGACCAACCACACCTATGTCTTTGTAAGGCAAAGTCAGTACCTGCCAGGGCAGGGCTCACAGCTGAGGCTGGGAAGCAGATGCTGGGGCAATCTAACCACTGGGGCTACAGACCCTATCTCCTCACTCACTGGACAGACCTCCTTTGAGTCCAGAGAGAATTCACTTTACAAGGACAATTCTTTCCATTCAAGTGCACAGTTCTCATGGGAACTTATTTTCTTCCCTTCCCTCTCTTCCACCTAAAAAGTTATTTGGAAAATATGTCTTTCTGTTCAAAAGGAGGCTTATGACATTGCTTCTGATCACTGACGTAGTTTTTAATAGGGTCTCTTTTGCTATTTACTCTCCATTATGTTCTTGCAACAAGATGTAACCTGAACATCTTGCCTTTAAAGAAAGGACATCTGAAGTAAATACAGAAACAGAAATGGATGAACAACTAATTCAGTGAAGAATGGAAGAAAAAATGGTTTCCATAAGTGTAGTGCTTCTAGGAAAAGAAAGACAGAAAGACCTCTCTGTTTGGGGAAAATATCAAAGATATAGGCATGTATAAGGTTGATTTGATGAGTGACGTTACTTGCAGCTCAGAATGTGATGAATAAAAGGCCCTTTTTTAAAAATCCAGGCTCAGTGCAGCTTGACTATTCAAAAGCAATACTGTCTAATTTTTAGAATGGAAAACAGAATTACTGGGTCATTGAGAGTAAGGACTGAGACTCTGCTTTGCTTTCCTCTGCCCTGTGTCAAAAAAACATGCGTGAGGTGGGACTTCTGAATCTTCTGGTTATCTTGACCCTGATTTACAAGGAATAGCAGTGTTTAGTCAAAGATCTCAGAAGACATTCCAGTCTTTCTGGCAGAAGGGTATTTATACAGGAGTTGACCTTGGTACAAATGATGTAGGAATGGTGAAGCTGGATTTAGTCAACCCATAACATGAACTGCTACAGGATGCATTCCGCAGTGGAGGGTTGAAGCTGTCACATGGATAAAAATCCCCTGCCTTCAGTCAAAGCAGCACTGTGTTTGCTCCTGACATGATCTGCTGCCTCTGGTAACCAGCAGTTTGCATCACAACCCCTCCTTGCAAAGCCCATTTTACAATAGCTACACGCTCTGTCAACAATTTGGAGTTTTTTGTATGTACAGGACAGAGGGAATATAGTCAAACATTTGATGAACTACAATTGCATTGGAAAAGGTCTTAAGCCTATCAGATCCCTCTAAAGGAAACAAAAAGGATCAGCCAATGTTATTTATCTCCATGTAAGCTTGTATTTTCTTTTAGAACATAACTAGAGAGTTATGAATTTTAGACCTCTAACTAGTTATAATAGGATTAAGAATATTATTAATACAATACTAGTAATATGATTAATAAAATTAAGAGTCTATAAGCTATGGGATAGCTAGAACTCTGATTTCATCATGAAGATGGTGCTGAAAAAATTATTTAATTTTAATTTTTAAAGCAAAGAAATGCTAAGCTTCTCTAGCTAGTTAAAGATTATGTGATTCACAACACGAGTAGATCACACAGACTTTTTGTAATATGTCCAGAATGGAACCCCAATACATGACAAATATTATCCAGGAATTATTATTGTGTGCTATTTAGGTAGCTATTTCTCACTTCTTCTACAGCAATTAAAAGCAAAATGCTCCTGAGCTTTTAAGTGAAATTGATATAAGTGGCTGGAAGAAGTTCTCACTTTGCAATGCTATTAATTTGTTATCCAGTTGTCTTTGAGGTGCTTTCCATATTCTGAAGAGCTAAGAATTGCATACTTATGTAATGACTCTCTCTAAAATAAATGTAAATATTCAAAAGGAGCATTGGCAAAAAACCCCAAAACCAAATTGAATGGAAAAATCTTTTGGCAGTTAAACAGTTTTAAAAAAAACCCAGATACTATATTAATTTAACTTTACTTCCTAACTTTATTTAAAAAAAAAAAACAACAACAACCTTCTTTTCTGAGGAAGTATTAGAAAATAATGTTTAACATGTTTACTTAAATCTTTCATCCACTTTCTTTTATATACTGTACATATGCTTTCATTTCTGCACATTCCTAGACATTGCATTTCTGGATAAGAATGGATAGCCCAGGGAAGTTTTAAAAATGTTTCTTGCTCAAGTATCTGAAAGGATTACCAAGAACCATGAGAGTGTTTTCTGGTTCTTTCAAGGCATTTCCAGACAACTGTTGCAAACTAGGAGTGCTAATGAACTTACAAAACCATCAAGCCTGAACGGGCACACAGACTGTACCACACCTTTGAATTTTTTTGAAGTGTATAATGATTCTTAAATCTTTGCAATTAAAGGATATAATATGCCTACAAATTTCTTTTGTCCCAAGAGCAACATAGAACTGAAACATATTCTGAATCTAGTGGAATGATATAAAAAGATGGTCTTGAACTTGTATTCTTATGTGTTCCTATTTTTCTGATTAGTGGATTCCATAAGTGGTAACAGAAGACATGAGGTAGTAGGGGAGTGGACTCACCATCAAAATAGTGAATTTTGGCTCCTCAGTACCCTCAATGCTAACTTGCTTTCATTTTATATGACATGATATATTCACTTTCGAAACTACATCAATTTCAATTAAAAAAAAAAAAAAAAGAGGACCTGTGTGTGAAATGTATAGCTAGCTTTAACTTCCTTCCTGTGTCTGCTGAATTTTTACAACATAATGAAAAAATATGAAACACAAGTAAAGGAAAAGAGACACCCAATTTCACCACCACTCCATGGACCAGAGATATTTTGTTATGTGACAATATGATCATCATCACATGCAAGAGTTTTTATCCGCAAGTACGAAAAAACTGTGTTATCCTAGCACCTTGACAAATTCCATTTATATTACATTTTCTTCAGGAATCAAAAAGAATTGTGTATATAAAAAACCCCAAACCTAAGAGTTTAAGGACCAGCTGCTTCTGTTTAAGCCCAACTGTTTCAGTATTGATGCAGCATAGCTCGAGCATGATGTCATCTGAAGGGCCAGCAGAATATACCCTGGTTGATCTTAAAAATATGTAGGGGTCTAGCCTCTCCTCTCTGAGTGTGCATAATTCCCATCAGTGGGAAGGGAGTTGCTCACATGCAGAAAAGAAGATAAAGTGTACTAAATGACCACAGTGGATAGAGAGGCATATAAATTCTACTAAAGAAAGAGACAACTATTTTCTTAATATTTACTTGTTCTTGCTACAACATAGCAGCTAGTTTTAAAAATTGAAGAGAAGAAAGAACAGTCTTCTAATGCTTCCTCTTTTCCCCATATAACCCTATGGGGATGGAAATAATTCTTTTATTCCAGTCCTTCTGTTGTATCTCCATCCATTCATTCAACTGTCCATCCACCCCTTCCCCTCCTTCCTAGTTCTATGGTTTGATACACATGCATGGAGACATTTGTATTTTATGTAATTTACTATATATTTAATAGAAGCTTTTCTTGTTTTAAAAGTTGCAGGGAGAAGAAAATAAATGTAATAAAAGCTGCAGCTTATGAACAGAAGTACAATATATATGTTCACAGGCACACAGAAAAGAATAACGACATTTATTATCTAGCCAGTCACTTAAGAGGATGGCACATTATATACTATTCTGAATGCCAAGCAACAATGAAAATCTTAAAAACTCTCTCAATGTCATGGGAACATGATTGTCACTTGTCATTACTCTGCATCTCTCTATTTCTTCATGTATCCTAAACTGTCTATTCTTACATAATTCAACACATTTAATAATGTAGAAAATCAATTAATATTTACTGACCTGTCTCTGCTTCTCCGTGATGGGAACGCAGCGTTACAGCCAGCCACTGTGCAGACATGCATCTCTTTTAAATGAACATTTCTGTAGTGAAGCTTCACGCTGTAGGAACTCTTGAAACTTTTCTTGCACACATAGCAGATCTTGGGGTCTGGGCTGGAGCACATTTCACCTTCTGGGGAGAACTTCTGAGGGCTGCTGTAGTTGAATGTAGAAGCAAAACTTTCATGAAGGGCAGCCATACTAGCACTGCCTCCATTGTACAGTCCATATTGGCTCATGTAGAACATATCATATGTAGGGTCTGTATACTCTTCCTTCACCTTAATGACATCTTGGTTGGAAGAGTCATTGTGGTTTTCATCTGGTCTGTCACTGTGCATCATCGATTTTTCACCAGGTTCATGGAGACGATCATCGCCTTCCATGGATTCCTCACACAATTTGGGCTCTGATGACTCCGACTCATTTTCATAGTCTCTCTCATGCTCCTGGTCTTCTGATGTCATGCTGTCTGCCCTTCTTATGTCTGGTCTGGAAATGCATCTGCTTCTGTCACTTTTGGAAAAGTCTTTCACAGACAGACCCGGACTCATTTCCTCCTGAGAATGGCAGTGATTGTCATGACCAATGTCATTCACCATCGTGCTGCTGTCATTCACTTCTTCGTCTTCATCATCAAACTCATCGGCAGTATCAATAACTTCCTTTTCAATTTTAACTGGCATGCTTGACTTCCTTGGCTTTTTCTTGGGGGCAAGGTCAGCATTAGGCTCTGGGGTGGGCATCAGCACTGAAGGTACTGATGACTCTGAAGGAGGAGGGGGATGCTGCTCCATGCCACTCACTGCTGGTATTATTGGACTGGTAGGGAGTGAGGTTGGAGGACTCACCATCTCTCCAGGAGTAAGTAAATTTCTGTAAAAAGGAGGAACAGGTTGAACAGTCTTTAAAGCCGGGAACACCAGCTGACTGGGAAGAGGGTTCTGTAGTACAGGATCTAGAGGGGGAGTGGTAAACCCCATTGGTGGACGCCCAGGGCTCGTTAAAGTTAGGTTGGATTTTGTACTTGCTATGACTGGAGTGGCGGCACCTGATGTAGCACGAATTAGATCTTTGTCACGGTTATTCCTTAGCATAGGCATGTGGAGGCGGGGATTGGGGTTAGCACTGTGGCGATTGCGGCTTCTGAGAGAACTGAAGACCATGTTGCAGCCCTCAATAGTGCACCGGTGCTTTATTTTCAGGTGAACGGCATTGTAGTGGATTTTAAGAGTACCTTTGTCATAGAAAGTCTTGCCACATGCATTGCAAAACACTCTTCCCTTCCTGGAGGCTGACCCCATTCTCCTCATTCTGTGAATGCGAAATGAGCTTTTACTGTGTTCTGTTTTCGATAAATCATTGACAGGAGTAGGCGTCTGAACAGGAGAGACGCAGGCTGGCTCAGTTTTGGGCTCAACATTTGTGATGCTGGTCAAAACATTCCTTG